CGTAGGCGACCTGGCTCGATCGTTCCAACTGTTCGCAGCGACGGCCCACAGCTTGGAACTGCGCAGCCAGGCTGCGTTGTCCATCGGACGACAGCGAACGTACCAAGGAGCGCGCGTCGTGTCTGCACTCTGAAAGTACGCTGCGCGATGGCAAGCCCGAGTCCATGGCCACGCGCCTCTTGACATACTCGCCGAAGTCTTCGCGAAACCGCGTGTTGAGCGTTTCCACGATGTGTCGAAGCTTGGTTGGTGCATTTTCGTCGGGCTTCTTGTCCTTGTCTTTGTCCTTGTCTTTGTCCTTGGCGCCGCCGCCTGGCGTTATTCCCTTGAGGAGGCTGACGGCGGACGCGTAGTTGTCGTAGGCGTCGCTCACGGCCGAGCCCATGTCTGACTTGCTGAGAAAGAGCGCCACGGCGGTGATGATGAGTGCCACACCGGTGAGCGAGACCGACAGGCAGTAGTACTGGTAGTAGTCGTCGTACTCCGGTGATATGACCTGCAGGCGCTCGCCGCCGCACTTCTTGGCGAAGCGCGCCCCCACGATTCCCAGACCGCCGGCGGTCACGGCCAGAAAGAAAAACCAGCCTAGCCACACCATTATGCCCAGCATAAGCTGCTGCGATGAGAGCGCTGACCAGACGCCGCCCAGTCCAGGCGCCTCGAGTGCGGCTTGGCCGAACTTGAGTCCATCCCCAGGGTCGCCGGCGAACATGGTGATCAACGCGCGGCCGATGTCACACCACACGGGCACCGTGGCGCCTGAGGGCTGCAGTGCAAAGCTGCCGCCGCCGCCGCCGCCAGCGGGTGCCGCTGTGGTCTTGGCGCCGGCCGCAGCATCACCTTCTGCTGGTGGCTTTTCTGACGGCTTATCTTGTGCGTGCACCAGCAGCAGACACAGCAACAAAGCGGCCAGCGCAGGCCGCCGCATCACGGTTCGGCGGGGCCGCCTCGGCGCAGCATCATGCAGCCCGAATGAACGGATGCGCGTGTCTCGTGATGGCCATGGGTCCGACTGTATGCGTTTGATTGTTTCCAGCTCAGTGCTATCTTGGACTAATGCCCACTGCGGGGCCATGAAGCCACCCTCTCATGGGGGGGAATTCTAGTAAATGCATCGCAGAGTAGGAGGTGTATCGCGTGAATGTTGCGTGATTGGGCGTTGTTTGGGAATGCTTAATTCGTCTTTATTGTTCTTCGTTATTGAATGAGGAGAAGCGTTGCCTTCAATGAGTGGTAGGATGAATTGTGCCCCACTACTGGTTTAAGGTACTGTTTCTTGCATCGCATCTACTCGAGTCAAGCAAAGCGAAAGCCAAGACGCCCTCGACTGAATACTGAACGCGCACTCGGCCACTTACAGCCCGGCTTCGAGGGAGACGAGTCTGCGCATGCTCGGCCTGCTGAACGCCGGCCCGTTGGTCTCTATTAATGGCTCCTGGAGTGAGAGTTTTCAATCAATCAGTGTTTATTCAATGAACCTTATACAAAAGTGGTTACAAAGTATTTGGACCATCAGCCTGTGTGGCTAGTTACTGCGTGGTACAATCTAATACATGAATATTTTTTACATGTCATGAACAGAGGCACACATGATATGATTATGAGTCTTTATACAAGTTCAATGATTGAGTAGCTTCAAAGGTATACTGTATTTAATGAAATCTACGTGAGAATAGATACGAAATTTGTGGGTGGGTCTTTCTGGGCGTGCACGAGGATTTCATACTGCCGCGCAGATCCCACACCTACTTTTTGCTCCGATGCGCACTTGCTCGTTAACTCAGAGCTTTGCGTTAGCGTTTTTCGCCACTGCGCATGCGTCGACCGCTGTCCTGCGGACCCCTGTTGCGTGCCGGGACCGCAACGAGTACGCAATTCTAAAACTCTATATAAGGGACGTACGTTATACAGTGACACCTGGGTGATACTATCGCGGCTCGTACAAATGCCGGGGTTTGGTTTGGTTTGGAAAAACTTTATTGACAAGTCCGAAGGCGTGCGCCCTAGCACACGGCGGGCCGCTCCCACGATGGGACAGTAAGGCCGAGCCCTAGCGCCGCATCGTGGGCCCTCTGGACAGCCCAAAGTTGCGATGTTATGTCTGGACTCCGGAGAGCGGAGTCCCACTTTCTGGACGATGCTGTATCGGTGCCACGTACCGAAGGGCACTCCCAGAGCATGTGGTGTAAGGTGGCTAAACCGCCACATTTTGTACACGAGTTGGTTAAATAAACATCAGGATAAAGCTTGTGAAGAAAGGTGATACGAACTTTTATTTAGTCCCCGTCAAGTCCAATCTTTTGGTCCCTGGCAAGGCCCAGTGGCCTGCAATGAAAAATTGAGTACGGTTATGGTGAACCGGTTTTCACATCGCGACGTTTGATACGTGCCTAGCGCTACCGGACAAGTACGAACCGGACAGCCTAAGCTGGACAACCTAGGACAATCTACCGGACAACCTAAGCACGAGCCCCGCCGCGGTGGTCTAGTGGCTAAGGTACTTGGCTGCTGACCCGCAGGTCGCGGGATCGAATTCCGGCTGCGGCGGCTGCATTTCCGATGGAGGCGGAAGTGTTGTAGGCCCGTGTGCTCAGATTTGGGTGCACGTTAAAGAACCCCTGGTGGTCGAAAATTTTGGAGCCCTTCACTACGGCGTCTCTCATGATCATATGGTGGTTTTGGGAGGTTCAACCCCACATATCAATCAATCAATGAACCTAAGTGTGATCATGCTCGCCGCGCAGTCAGTTCTGGTGGAATCACGGTTTAGTAAAACAGTTCTCTGACACCGTGGTCAGCATAAACCTCCTTAAGTGACGTGTCGTAGCCTCTAAGAATCTTTCATGCCCTAAAGCGCCTTCGTATGCCTTCATGTAAAGATTACAGATGGCTGCGTACCTTTTTTTTTCTTTTTTTGAAGCGCTTCGTCGACACATGCTGCTATTCTTATATTGTATTTACATGTGCTCGCCACGTAGATGCAAGTCATTTTCTCCAGCATCAGACGTGCCGTGAAAGGTGGACGTGGACCGAAAGAGGGCGGTCCTCGAGCACGGCCGATTGTTTGGGACGCACACACCTGCCGAATCTCCGATTATGCAGGAATGGCCGTAAAGTTTCCGCAAAATGCCCTTAACACCACCGCGATATGAAAAATGATAAACAAGGGACATGTGTTCTCAAATGTTCTGGCCTTCATCGATCACATGAAAAGCGTCAATTAGGTCACTTTTGCCGCACTACGCTATTGCCACGCGGAAAAGCGTACAAAGGTTAGGAAGGTTTTATTAGTTATCACAGGTCACAGCACACCTGGTTAATTGCGCACGCGTGTACGGGCCAGCTAATTATCCGTGCAAGTATGATCATTGACGCCTGAAAACTTCACTCGTTGTCACTCAGAGCTGTTGGTGGCGATGCTTCAACCCTGAGAATAAATGAAAACATATACGCCAGCTTTCTTTCGTCACACACTAATATTCTCAGTTTTTTTGGATTTACGAATTTTGGATACTACGAATATTTTCGATGATCTCGCGAGATTCATATTACCGAGATTTTACTGTAATCACTATATTTGCCCAAGCAAGTGCGTGAAATTTCTATTATTTGGTTCGGCGTGTTGTTTGAAAGTTCATCGCCCTTGGGGAGAGAGTGGTGAACCAACGCCTCATAAAAAAGTTATGCCTGGAACGTGAGCCGTGAACGCGCTGCCCTACCCTCTGATTTTACCCTCCTCCTTCGGTACGAAGGCGGACGTCTCCGAAGACCGCCCTGTGCGAACACAGCACCTCCGTGGAACACAGCAATGCTCTCACAGTTGCCTCCGAGCAGCCGTGATGTCACGTGATGGAGCGGTACGGTTATGTCACGTGACTGAGCGGTACGGAGGCGAGCGGTTTCACGCGGCGGCTGGTCGCAACACAAGACAGAAGGCATGTCCTCCGAGATTGCGTGCTGGCAGGAGGCTCCCAATTGAAAAGATAGCGACGTTCCAGGCATAGTTTTCCTAGGAGGCGTTGGGTGAACACGTAAGCAAGTGATATATAGACATCTTGCCGAGCCCCTAGCGATAATTTATAGCTATTGGGGGTATGCACTGGACTTCGATCCGTTAGAGGGCAACACTATTGCCGCGCCATTTTGAATATCTGTTAGTACGCGCCATCCTACTGTCCATGTTTCACGTGTAGCGAGTTTAGCGAACTGGTAGGTGCTCTGTGGTTTTATGCGGGCACTGCGAGAGCGCGGCCTTTCAAAATGGCCACCCCGACACTAGCGATATTCGCGGATGACATCAAGCGTGTGACCCCCTGTATGTTCTCAGTGCTTTATTGCAATAAATTCAGCATTTATCGGAGTTTATTGCCTGTAAGTTTTTTATGTTCGCCGAAATTCGGTGTTTAAATTTTGCTTTAAAGTGGTTGCAATGTGTTGTTAAGAATTTTATTTGGGATAAAAATGCATTACGTAGTTGCTGATAATCCTGTTTCTCTTGTCTTCTTTTTTTTTTTTGGGGGGGGGGGGAGCTAGCAAAGCTTGTCAGCTTTTTCTTTCAGCCACCTTTATCTTCTGGATGGAAAATAAGAAAACACCTATTATTACATTTTCTCAGTACTGTGAATCCTTAGATCAATTAATATGTATGTTAACAAAACAACATGTGAACATAATAAGTGTATTTTAAAAGCAGGAAGGTTTGAATGCATGAAAACCTAAATACAAAAGCCCTATGTTTGTATGACAACCTCAAAGGTTGTAATAGATGCAAGCATACTTTGCGAGATTGCTACTGCTGACAGTGGTGTGCTCCATGTAATTGATGATTCTCACCTTTGAAAATACCCTTTGAACGCTGAAAACGCCCAGTTAAAATCGATTAAATGCTATTTGGATCAGGCTGGTAAGAAATCTTAGCCCATCTGTGTGAGCAGGTGATAAGAGCACAGTGGGTTTTCATTTTGCGGTTTGCAAACGACAGTCTTTCTGACCTCCTGCAGGAGTATGACCTGGAGCAGAAGATTGACCTTGAGATCAAGATGCGCGAGGGCACAACCAAGCTGCTCGCTGTGTGTCAACACCGACCACAGAGCCTCGAAGCAGCAAAGTCTCTGCTCACCTCGAACGAGCGCATGACTGCTTACGTTGCTGAGCTGCAGCGCCGTAAGATGGCTGAACGGCCTAAGCAGGCGTAAGTGCAGTGGGCAGCTACGTGTCAAACTTCGTTATGCACAGCAAGAAAGCTTTGGGGGGGGGGGGGGGGGGGTTTAATGTATGTATGTGCATCTGTTTGTATTTGTGTGTGTATGTATCTGCCCATACGAAACGTAGAAATTGCAGGGGTTGAATTTGGGCCCCACCCCAACGCAACCCCTTCACTCCAGTGTTAGCAGTAAGTATGTAGCTCACTAAATGAATAGCCGATTGCATTATAAGGGTTGATTACACTCGATTAAAAGAAAATGGTAATTTGTGTGCATACGACGCCTAATTGTCCATACTGACGATTATCTCTGCAATGTGGCTGCCTTGCTGTGCGCGAGTTCTACGGTGATGCTCACACGTTACACCATAAGTTGGATCTGTCTTCAGATCTGGTAGCCCTTGAGAATTCGTGGAATTCGGCATTTGGTGCATTTTCTTGGGTACTTCAGCTTCGTCAGTCAGGAATCCGTGAGTGTTGTCGTTCAAATTGTCGCATCTGTTCTGTACGCATAGGTTTTCCTGTAGGGACTTGATTTTCTGGTTTTTCAATCTGTCGTTTGAACGTTGTTGTAGTTGTTGCTTGATGAACGACTCTTCTAGTTCTGGAAATCAGGTGTTTCACTCCAAATGTCTTCATAGCTGCTCCGCATTAACCACTCTCTTCTTTCTGTGATGGTAGTTTTCATTGTGTGCAATCTTGAACAAGTTGCTGTCGAAGAATTCTACTACTTCAGATGGTTTTTTGTTCGAGTGTAGATGGTCAAGATCTTAGTGCACAGCACTCTGCCATGATGTGGCCAAGATCATCTTCTGCCACTAGTCTCACATAGGGGGGATTTGCAGTTTTGGCGTTCAGTTTTCTGAAGTTGTCAACCATTCTCATCAATATACACTCCGTGCCCGGCGACTGGCACGCCGTCCCGCGGCTGTCAGGGCACACAGCCATTGAGAGCCCGAGCAGAATCAAACGCTCTCTCAACGCTCGCTAACACGTAGTTTTTGGGAAACATGAACTGCTGCGTAGTCGATTACACCAAAAGGTGCGCATAATGTCTTTCAAGAACGACATTTTGAAGTTTCTGGACTCTCCCCTGCTTTATTGGGCAGCAGAAGTAGTGGATTATGGTTGCAAGACATAAAAACTGTTTGGTTCCGGCTCCTTCTGCCGTCTCTCGTTCTGCCGCTGCTTACTTGAATTGCTCTCAGACAACACCTCGGTAGGTGCAATGATTTTTCGTGATGTTCCTGCTGCGATAGAGCTGGTGAGAAAAAAAATGCTATGCAAGACATTTAAATTCAGCTCAAGGCATATGGACAACTAACCACCCAGAAGGGCTATGCGAACACAGTGGGATCAAGCTAAAACTTTGATGGGCTTGTTGACCCTTATTAAACTGGCGCGACCCACCACGGGGGATCGGCCATTAAATTGGTGGTCATTAAATTGTTATAAAAAGCACTTTTGGGATAGTCTCATAATGCTTAGCACTAGATCATTTTCAAAACAAGTAGTTGACTTAATCCATGGAAAAAAAAAACACTAATGTTGTTGAAGAATAAGCTTGATTTAGATAACCTTAGTATTCAATTCGTTTCATCTCGTGTAGTAAATCGCATTCGTCATTGCAAACCCTCCATTGGCTAAAACCTAGTGCTGTAGTCCCAAAACAAAGAATCCCCGAATGTGATAAGTTGAATCTCATCCTTCCGTATGGTTCATATAGAAGTCTTTTTTATAATTGGTAAACAATCTGCATGTTGGGAAGAAGTAATGCAGGACAAAGAGTAGCAGGACTAGTGGGTGAAAAACGAAGCTTTGCCAATGCTGTAGCGATGAATTTGCATTTGGGAAAGCAACATAAACTCAAGAGGTTGTAGTGAATGAGAGAGATGTCACAGTGGCCAAAGTGACGGTTGCCATAGTGACCATGGCCGAAGTGACCACCACTTTACAAGGTTAAGTAAAAGACAAAACGGGGCTGCAGCGTCTTTTTTGGCCAAAATCATAGCGTGTTCTGTTTCTCGCTCGTGCCTCAAGCTCTTAGCATTGCTGCGCGAGCGGTGAGGTAAAAACCATGATCATGATGAGTGGGGATGATGCTGCGACGATTTCAAGCAAAGCAATTTGCCAGACTCGGCGGCTGAAAATCACCCTGGCATGAAGTCGCAACAAACGAACACGCTACCGACCACTCACCATGATTTCCATGGTGAATTGCTAAATGCTCTGATATTGCTACATGCTGTGAGTATTTTGCAAGTAGGCAAGTGGTGAGCACGCATCAGTTATATTCCAAGTGTGAAAAAATGACAGTTTACCACGGCAGTTGTCAAGCAAGCATCTTGTATTGCACACACCTGACGCACGCATTAGCCGTCAGTACTGACGATGGGCAGCAAGGTGCTCACTAACGAGGGAAACATGGCCGCTTTCGTGCAGGTTTTTCCATTTATTTTCAGTGGCATTGCAGAAGAATGTCTCACTACGACATTTTGAAATCCTGCTCGAAGAACAGACGTGCCGGCAATGGGCGCTTTTGCCACCATAGCTGTCAGAGCATTGAGAAGCTGCTGTCTGCTATACAATTCCCAATGTTGCGTGCCCGCCGCACCACAAGTGGTGCTTTGCGCGGCTTTGAAAGCGCTCCCTATAGCTCCCAATCAAAGTGTATAGTGGGATGGTTCGGCTGGTCAATTACATGAGCAGAATAGCGTATTCGCTCTGACTTGGAACGATTATTCTTCTCTCTAAATAATCGGTGACATGTTTCCTCATGAACTTCTGGTCCGCATATGAACATGTGCATGTTCGTGTAGCCAGAGGAATGGAGCAATATAGATCTACTGAATGTTTGGCGAACGCGCGCGCTCCCTGCTGATCCGCATGCGTAGCGAAGGCATCGTGATTAGTTGCTAATGTTGCATGGAGTTTCTGGCGCTCTTCTGGCGATGTGTCTAGTGTCACCCGTTTCACCGCAGCCGATATTTATATTTGCTGCTCGAGCCCTCGGTGTGGTCCTGGAGTCGTTGGCTTTGACGAGATGAACATGGTGATTTTATCCTTCGCTTGATGTGGAATTGTGTTGTGAAGGTAGAAATCAATGACTCTCCTCGTCGTTGTGATGGCAGTGAGCTTAATACATAGTCAACTCGGGTTGTGACCTGTAGGTAGGCTAGTTAGTGTAAAGTTGTTTAAAACATGGAATGCTGCATCGAGATTGGCCAGACTCCTCCAGTTTGAACCTAATAATAGGTTCATTGTAGGTAGCAACGCGTGGATGAATACTGCGAGAATTTTAGTCGCCAGTTTACCCACAATAATTGATGACAAAGTCATCCATTCAGGCTTGACTGGGTTGTCTAGAACTGTTACTAATTTATGGCTTTTGCAGGATTCCTTTTTGGTTCTGAGAGGTAGAGTCTTTAGATCCTTGATGTATATATTCAGTCTAGCGTCGGTACATGCTCAGAGTTTTGTACCTCCTGACAATAGTTATAACGCGAGAACAGAACGACGACTAAGAGACAAGAAGGACACGAAGGACATGAGCGTGTGTCCTTCTTGTCTCTTTGTCATCGTTCTGTTCTCGCCTTATAACTATCGTCATGTCAAAGCAACTAGCCCAAGCTGCCACACTTCTGTACCTTCTATTGTGTGGACTGTCACGATAAGAAGTGAGTCTCCTCTGGTGCGCGAGAAGGAGTGGATGTTTCGTTGATCTGTTCAACGCTGCATCTAGCCTGCTGTTCCATCTTTGTTTCGCTCTGAGAGTTGCGATCGTTTTTGGTTCTGGACAGTCCCTTGATGTATGCCCAAACACTGAACAGTTGAAGCGTTTTTGCTCTCGGAGGGCAGGTGTCCGTTGTGTGGTTGGCAGCTAACAGTTTCTGTATGTATGTAGAGTTGAAATGGCGTGACCAATCTGTCTTGTTTATAAGCACATACTTGGGATTGGTACATGGATCGACTTCTAGCTTTCGTTGTGAGCCTAGGTTTGCGGCTCGGTCAATAAGTTCCAGCATGGAATAGCACTTTTGAGATGCTGGCAGCGTAGCCCACTGGTCATTTTCGACGGTATGTGATCCTCCGCGGTGAGTTTGTGAGAAACTTTTCTTTTTTTTATTTTTGTTACCTCAAAGGCCCCAGTTTAGGGGTTTCACTTGATGAGTGGTCAACAATTCAACATAACAGATGTTTGACAACTTCTTCTTTGAAGAGTACCGAGCTGTAGTGGTGCACGGTGCCGGCAGGGAGAGTGTTGCAGTCTTTAGGCATGAGCACTGAAATGGACAATGAGTGAGCTACAGTCCGAGCATAAGCAGTTGTACAGCTTTGGTGTGATTGAGACTGCTAGAATGAAGATGAGCTGGAATGATCACAGATGTACGAGAAGTAGTGTGATAAAATTTATGAAAAAGACCAAGGCATGCGATTTTGTGACGAACAGCAAGATTGGGAAAGTTAATACATGATTTTAGCTCTGTAATGCTGCTGTATGAGTAATCGGAGAGAATAAACCTGGTTTCACGATTCTGAAAAGATTCTAGTCTTTTAATCAGGTTATATTTGGTGAGATCCCATATGGCACATGCATGTTCTAACTTTGGTCGCAGTACAGTGTCATAATATATGCTAATTGTTTTAAAGAAGATGCAGCTAGGCATAAGTTCCAGCATAGGTAGCCAAGTATGCGGTTATTTTTGTTCGTTATGTTGGTTATGTGGTGCATCCAAGAGATATCAGTAGTAAGTTCAATGCCGAGGTGTGTATAGGAAGTAACACATTGAATTGGGAAGTTACAAAGAAGGTATTGAGGTGTATGATAGTTTTTCCTGTGGCGAAAAGAGAGATGTCTTATTGATGTTTATAGACATAAGCCATTTTGTGCACCAGTCATAAAAGTGGTTTAGGTCAGATTGAAGTGCTAGTACGTCATTACTGTTGTGAATTGCCTGATAGATGACACAGTTGTCAGGAAATAATGT